TTTTATTTTTAGTTCATAATCTTCTCCTCTATTCACTGAGCAACATGGTATTTCTATTTTATTTTTATGATTTTTCTACACCAAGTTATGATTTTTTAAAGTTTATGAATTAATTTAAATAAAAAATACCCTATTTATCTACTTGTCCACGCGACGACCTCGTCATCCTTGGCGGCTTTGAACTTTACACGAGGCGTGCTTCGATTCAGTGCCACCATCTTTGTCATCTGCCACGCATCCCGCTATTCACGAATAGATTTCTCGTCTGACTCCTCCCCCGCCGTTGGATCAACACACGCTTGAATGGATGACATCCGTTCATCATCCTCATCTAACCTAAACTGAGAGTTGTTCACACTAAAATGCTTTGATCTCTCTCGGTACTCAACCAAATACCAAATCACATGGGGTTTGTTCAGGGTTTGTTCATATAGCTTCATCTAGTCAAGGCAAACCTATCTATATGGTTGATCAAGCATGAAAAACAAGTCTACTTCACAATTGATGAAACCAAACCTAAAATTAGGGATTTTGAGTTATACCTTTTTTTCAAGAGGTGTGGCCTCAATTGGATGCTTGCAGAGGCTTCTCTGGAGTTCCACAAAAGTGCTTGAAGTGTCATCTTCTTCTGGTATGGGGCATGAGTAAGAGTTTGATCGGAGGGTGGTGCGGCCTTGGTCAAAGTCTAATGCAAGGGGCTGAAAGGATGGGCATTTTGCTTGGGAACTTCTCCTTATGCTCTGGGAAAGCTCAAAAGCAAATCAATTTGAAGATTGGTGGAGGTTTGTGGAGTGAAAAAAAATTGCCCTAGATTTCAAATGAGAAATTGGGCCTAGACAACTCGAATGGGTGGCTGAGGATAGTAGAATTGAACTCAAGAGCATTTAGAGAGGCTCTGGTGAGAATATGGTAGAGTATCCCCAGAGAATTGGATCTTCTTCCATGCTTGGCAGTGAGGGAAAGATTTATAGCTGAGGACAATGAAAAGGCCTCAATCTCTGATTGGCTGGTGCCAATAAGCTTATATGGAGTACTAAGCAACGCTAGTGACCAATCAAGTTTATCCACATAGGATGGGCTCAAATTTGAGTTCAAATTTGGGGTAGCCATCTCATTTTGATCTCTCCGACGACTAGGGTGGCTGGTCAGGGCTAAGGTGGTGGCTAGCTGGGTCAGGGAGGCCAGAAGAGCTTAATGGTGATTGACTCGAGGCTTGGAAAGACTAGTGGGAAGAATCCTTTTGGTTTAGCCATTTTTGGGTAGAAATCCCATAATTCAAGGGACCTTTGGTCCACGGAACCGTTATGGTGGGCTAAGTGGATCTAGGCTGGGTTTTAGAGTCCAAATTGCAGTTGTGGTGGTCAAGGTTGGGCTAGACCAAGTGGCTCAAGGTGAGTTTAGGGTTTGGGTTCTAAATTTAGGATTTGGGTTAATTGATTGCTCAATTTGTATTAGAAGATTGTCATGAGGCATTTGGGTATCAATTAGGTAGAAATTGAGAGGTTATGAAGTTTAATTTGGAGGGGTTTGGATTTTTTGGGAAAAATTAGCGATTTTGGTTTAAATTAGATTTGGGTTAGGTTTGAGTTTGGGCCTAAGCCAATTTAGGGTTTAAATTGGTCTAAGGGAGAGTTATGAAGAGTTTAGGATTCAAACTTGGGGAAATTAGCTTGGTTATGGGGTTCAGTTTGATGGATATTAGAGGAATGGTCAAATTGGGGGTTTTAGCCCGATATTTGGAATTAGGGTTTGGAGGTTGGTTCAATTGGGCTCCAAATTGGTGTAAATTGGGATTAAACATGTTGATGTTCAATTTGGGTTTAAATTTGAGTGAAATTGAAATGGACTTTGTGGAAATTAGGATGAATTTAGGCCTTTAGGGGCAAAATTAGGATTTGGGTTAAAATTAGTCAATTTGGGCCCAATGGATGGTTAGTACTAGTTTAGAGGAGGTTTGCAATGATTTGGGAGGTTTTGGGAATTTTTTGGACATGAAGGGTATTTTGGTAATTTTGGCAATTTTAGGGGAGTATTTTAGGTATTTTGGAGTGTTTTGAGCAATTTAAGTGGTTTGAGATGATTTTTTGTGAGAAATTGATAATTTGGGCAATTTTGGGAAAATTAGGGTTTAAGGGGCATTTTGGTAATTATGAAAAAGTTTGGGGCTAAAAGGCCAAAATTAGAAATTTTTGGTAAAATTGGGGTGATGAGAAGGCTAATCACAAAATTACCCTTATGGGGCCATGAGACCAAGGAAATCCTCTATTTTAGATCCTCCATGTGTTGGTCCTAGCCATCCTAGTCAAAGACTAAGGGTTTGGGGGACCACCCACATGAGTTTCCAAAAGAGTAGGGAATCAAGCTAAGTATGTTTGGTTTAGGATTTTAGGTTGTGATTGAAAGTGACGGGTTTAAGTGTGTGTGTGCATGACTGACCAAGACCACACCACACAGGGCTAACCCAAAGGCCAGACAGTCTTATGGGAACTCTTTCTAAGCTCCTCCATGTTGGCTCTATCCTACTAAGTGCTAGAGGTTAGAACCAAACATGTGGAACTCCAAGAAAAGTAATGAAGTGTTTAGGATTTCTAATAGGGTAGAGTTCCATCACTAGCCCTATAGGATACTCAATCAGGAAAGTCTTATAGCTAGATCCTAGGTTTTTAAGAAAGAAAGACTATACCTCAATAAAAGTGAGGTCAACAAAAGCGTCTGAGATTTTGAACACACACACGGTTGACTCAAATGCGACGATAGGGTTGTTGGGGTTCAAAAGTCCCTTATAAGTTTTCAAGGCTGGTAATTTGGATTTTTCCATCTAACCCAAAGATTTGGAGGGAGAAGGCATTCTCCACCTGGCGTGGCACCTCAGTACACCCTACACGTTGTCTTTTCACTTGTGTGGATCCTATGTTGTCCTATTACTTTGAGTCGTGAGTCCCCTCAAGACTGTGGTTTGCTTACCTATCATTGTGCGCTGGTGCCACCTCCTGTTGCTGGCTCTGCTCTTTTGGGGCCTGATTTCCCACAAGAGCTGTGAAAACCCTCAAGACTTTGATGATCTGACGTGACACCTACTCCATAATTTGAGTCCTCATTTATTTCATTCCTCTCTGCATGTGAGCCTCGATGTCATCCCACTGGGGATCCACATTGGCTAATACTCTTTTGATTGCTCCCTTCTCTCTGTGATCGATGTGCTCCTTTTCTTGTTGACGGTATGGCTCCACGTTCACCTCACTTTTCAGGATGTTGAAGTCAAATCTGTTTGGGAGGCCTGCCTAAGATATAAAGCACTAGAAGGATGGTAGAGAGAGGAGGGAGAGCAATAGCACAGTAATGAACAATAAGTTTATGTAACTCTTATTCATGAAATGGATCCCCTATTCAAAAAAAATGAGTCAATATACAATTACCTACCGTAACCCTAAAATATGTAGGTACGGTGGGTACGGTGGTGGAATCTTAGTCCATACATAACTTTGGCCTGTGGGGCCCGTAGGTGTGACCAGCAGGCTGTCATTTGGTTGGATGCCAATAAGACCAAGTGGCTGCGTGGTCGAGTGGCTATAAGGCAAGGAGACTGCGTGGCCGAGTAATCGCTAGGTCGGGCATCGCCTTAGCAAAAGTCCATATCAACCGCACTGGAGTTGGAGGACCCATTTCTCCTTCCTGATCTATCCGAGTTGGAAGGCAACAGGCTCGACCAAATGGGTCCAATTAGTTTTTGGATTCTTTAAAGGTGATTCTTCCCTTATCCATCTGATGCACACCGTTTCCACGGTACAAAGAACTTGTCCAGCTGAACATGTAAACTTGGGTTGTCCTTGGTAGGCTCTGCGAGACCACGTCACCTCTTTAGTCATCCATGAAATGTCTTTGCAGTTCGTGCTGACATATTTTTTATCTACATAAATAATACAAAGTAAAAATAAAAAAAAATGATCCTAAATAGCCATTAAGTATCTTTAAAAGAGATTTGATTCTTCCATCTAATAAAGAACATGTATGGGGAGGTTGTAGAAATTATTGTTTAATGTGAAATGATTCCTTCAAACTTCTAAAAATTTTGGTGGAAAGCCACTTACAAGAGGCCTAGTTGCGTGTCTATATTTTATAATTTTGTATAGTAATTGCACCTATAATAAAATACGCCTATACTAAAAATAACTAATAAACGTGTCAAAACTTAAAAAGGAAATGCATATTTCAAATTTTTCTTAAATTTTGAATTGGCCTTATGACATGCAACTTCTTCATAAGTTCATTATTAAAATTTATTTTATTTTATTTTATTTTGGACTATAACCATCAAAATAATAAATTATTTGGTGACATAACTTTTATTGAACGTTAACCGACTTTTAACATAATTATAAAGATGGCAAGTCATATACCAAAATTTTGCAACATTCTACGGCAATTGGATCAAGCAACTTCACGACAAGAAAAAAATTATTACGTTCGGACTCCGGACGTAGAGACACGTTCGGAGTCCAATGAATCACCTCCACGTGGAGTTAACAGAAAAAAATAAAAAAAAAACTCGTTTCATGTGATTCGGCCCGGTAACACAAGCAAATATTCCTCTGGTGTTATTCCGCATTATTCATGTGCTATTTTGGTGGTATTGATATATAATTGTGTTATTATAACACCGGAAATATTTTCAGAATATAAAAATAAATGAATACCACTACAATAACACCTGAATAACGTAAAATAACACGGAAAGAAAATTTTCCTGTGTTAAAATGAAATTTTTTTTTCCTATCACCATCATGTAACATGATTTTATCTCTAGGTTGTTAATCCGCACTTAATATTTGTTCCTAGGCAAACCACGCTCCTTTCTGCCTAAATTATCGAATTACCAGTACTCGACAGAGGAGAAAAAGCTAACGTACAAAAAACGTACGTAACTCTGCGTATATTTTAAGCCTGTAACCTAAAAATTACCCAGCTGTACCCCTCAAAAAGTCTTAAAATTTACGCAGAGTTGCGCACGCTTTCCATACGTAAATATTTCTAGTGACCGTGTTGTAGGGACGGAGAGATGGCTTTGGAGAAAGCGAAGGAGGTCGTTTCTTCTGCTGAGGTTGTCGTCTTCAGGTCGATCTCTTGTCCGATTGTAGACTTCTGAGTTTTTTGTTCTTTCATCCATGACTTACCTCGGTTTATTCCCCTTCCAGTAATCTTGGTTGATTGTGAATTACTCATTTCATAATTCATTTCGTTGACCGGTGGATTCTGTATGTATGTAACCGGTGGATTCTGTATTTACATATGAAAGCTCGTTATTATGTAATTGTAACTCCTAAAATTTTCACAGATGAAATTGAAGTGTAACTTTATTCAGTCGACATGAAGAGAAGCATGAAAATTGCTTAAATTCTTTCAATTTTGCTATCTGTGCATCACCAATGTATTTTTCAAGGAGGGAAGTTTTTTGAGTTATATAACATTATTTGTTACCCATTCATTCATAGGTTTTTTTCTTACTTCCACTAATTTGCACTTTCGTTAAGTTTTATGCCAATGAATCTAGAAAGGCTAGTCACAGAGTCTAAAGAATTGTAGTTTTCTCATCTGTAGAAAGTTACTCGTATTGTTTTTGTTTTTAAACTACATATTTGACAATTATTTAAATTTTTATCTTAACGCTTTGGAGTTTTTCATTGAAGTGAAAGGAGATGTGTGTTGCGTGCGGAGGCGGATCTATAAAATATTTTTCTGTGGGGACATTATAAGAAAACTAACATAATTATCGAAACTCCAGTCATTTCAAAATTTTCTTATCACATACATAAATTTTGGTTTAAACTATTTGTCATATTTTTTTAAGTTAATCATTTCAATATAATTGTCTGGTTACATGTGATTTAGCAAAGATAGTGATTTGAAGTTTTCCTTTGTAATTATAGATTTGTAGTGATTTGAAAGACACTTCCCTCTCCAAATGCTGGAGAGGAATGTAAGAGTGTTTTGTGAAAACTTTCTTTTGACAAAATTTCTAGGAGAGACTTCAATTGTTTGAAGTTATAGTAAGAAAGGTTTTATTGCAAAGCAAAAGGGGGAAAAAGTAGTCGAAGAGATGTAAATGACCTCACCAAAAAGCCGATGCAACACTGAATTTATGTTTTAGAACAATCATCTTATGACCATTCAGAAACTCTGACATCTGAACATTGAATATCCATTTCTGTTTGCATTTAATCTCTGGCCTATATGAATATATATAATTGTTAATATTTTAATTCAAATTTCTATATTGGAGAAGCATACCTTGGATGGAAATCAGAAAAATGAGGGTTACAAAATTGGAAAGAAGATAAGTGCGCGATATGGAGACGTTTCAAGAGGCATCCCATCCCCTCACATAGTTACTGTCAGTTCTACAAGAATACCACAAACCTCATTCTGTTGTAAGGAATTTGCTAAATTGACATTTAAGTCTGGCCATGTAGGTTGATTACAGCCGATTTGTTTCCTCATCTTGTAGTATGTTTTCTACGAGAAATCCTTAATTTTCTTTTTAATCAGCTCTGAATTACTTTGTCTTGAGAATTAACTATCCATTAATAAGGAAATTATGAACTAATTAACATTTAGGTGAGTTGTGTATGATATATTAAATCAGATTTAACATGGTAAGAGTTGACAATAAATGAGATTTTTGGCGAAGAGACAATATTTAGCATGTTTGTTTTTATCATTTCATCTTGAATGGCAGCAGTAGAAACTCTTCGAAGCTGTCTACAAGAGTAGTGCGGACAGTAATTAGATAGCAATCTTAGCATGTATGTCTTTCCTCTCCTTTTCCATTGAACTAGTTAATTAGAACAACCGTTAGGAATTAGAGCAGTTGTTGTATGAAAAACTTAGCATGAGTCAGAAAGACATGTCTGAGAAACAACCATTATTTGAACTTTGTTTAGTTACAATGTAGAACTTTGAAATGTTGGCCCGTTTGGGCTTACTTTTGTTTTCTTAATTTTAATTTTATTTTGTTTTGTTTATGTTTTTGATTTGAATTAATGCTTGTTTAGTTGAAGTAATTGTTTTTAAAAACACTTAAAGCATCTATTAGGTGTCTGAGTGTTTTTAAAAACAAGGTGATTTGTTTGTAAAAACAAAAAAAATTGAAATAATCAAACATATTTTCAAAAGCCAAAGTATAAATGAAAACAAAACCTAAAAAATAAAAGTGATGAAAAACAGACCCATAGGGTTTGAACACAATTCTCTTCTTTCACTAGTACTAGCTGCTTACTGGTTGAAAAGAAATAGATCGAGGTACCAAAAAATGATGAGCTGTGGGAGAGTATGACATTTCGAAGTAACAACCAGATCCCAACTGCGTTGAGTTATGATATAATTTTAAAATTTTTGGTTCAAATAGAGGAGGAGCTCGAGAGGGAAATCAGAGGAGATTGCATGACCAAAAGTATTATTTTCTATAAAAATTCATCTGCTTCTTTACAACTTAATGGACCCCTCTTAATAGAAAGTGGCTCAATTCATATAATGACTTTAAAATATTACAAATTGCCGTTGGGATTTGAGTTACAGTAAACTAATGATGTAATTGAATATTTGGTGTTAATCTAGCTTAGATATCCTTCTTGTGGATAACAACACCATTTTCTTAACTATTAATTTTTGTAACCTTAGATTGGTAACATGGTATGATATGCATTTTTACTATTGATATTGTCATCCTTTGATTAGACTATCATGATAATTTCTGCGCAATGCATATACCCACTTATGGAGTGGAATTTATGAATCTAGTAATTCTCTTCTTACTAAAAGGTATGTCAATTGGTGCTTACCATCAGGTACATTGATATAAAAATTTGAAAATTGATATGTAATTGTGGTTCAGTGAGTGGGCTCTAAATAGGATTGAATTTTAACTTTCTTTGTACCAGCTGAAATATTTGATTGAATTTCGTTATCTATACTTCGAAGAAATTACTTTCGCAATAGTAAATAAGTATGATTAAAGGATGATGTGGTTATTAACCTGTTACACCCTGCCAACCACAACAGTAGGCGGGCCGGTCTTTTTTCCGCAAGGAGCGGGCCGGCAAATTCCTGCGGCAGAAGCAAGCAGGGAGCAGGTGTGGTCCATGTGGGCCTTAATCACATACACAAGGAGGAGAAATTAAAGGAGTTTGGAGGGAAAGTTGGGAAGGAAAGTTTGAAATGCTGCTGGAGGACTCTATTATGGGGAATAACCTAGGGTTTGTTTTTTTTATGCATGTTTTGTTGACTATTGGGTTCTTTTTCTTCTTGTGGTGTTCCTAGCAATGTTTAGGGTTGTGGGACAGATGATCTACCTCTCGAAAAGTAGATAATTATTGTATCTTACTTGTTTTCATTTATTTTTCGTAAGAGCAACCCTCATTTGAATTTTTTTTTCCATTTATCTATTGTCTTTTCGTTGTTGTTGCTTGCTGATTTTGGTTCGGAGCGTATAAAATTGGTATCAGAGTCTAAATCTTGGTGGGATGGCAACAAAGAAAGTGGACATACTAGAAGGAGAGGTAGGGAAAATTAGATCGGGAATGGAAGAAAGGTCTGCCACCATGGAGGCCAAATTTTCTTCAATTGGAAGTCGAATGGAGAATGAATTTGATCGCATAGGAGAAATGCGGGAGATGTTGAAAAAGCTCGTAGAGATGCAGTCCAAGGTCATGTCGATCGCTCTAGTTGCAAATCCTAACTAAGCATTGATCAAGGAATCATTGGCCAGGTCAAGGAAAGAGATCGAACGAAAAGACAATGAGAAATACATCTTCTACCTATAAGAGCGTCCCCTTAGGAACTACGAGAGGAGGGGAAGTGGATAAATCCACTGGGGGTGGGGGGTGGGCTTAAAAATGTAGGAGGGATGGGTGTAAGGGACACGGAAGAACACAATGGAGAATGAGGGAATCGAGAGTTGGGTATGCCTATGACCAGAGTAGGGAGTACCGACCTAAATAATTGAAGGGAAGTACCAGAGGAAGAGAAGCTTGGGGTGGAGATACAAGGGTCCGAAAACTAAAGATGCCAATCTTTGAAGGGGAGGATGCACATGGGTGGGTGTATTGAGTGGAGCGATACTTTGCAATCAATAGGTTAATTGAAGAAAAAAAACTCATGGCTATGGGAGTAGGCTTGGAGGAAAAGGCTTTAGCATGGTTTTAGTGGATGGAGTCAAGGTATTCGATGCACTCATGGAGGAAGTTTAAGGGATGCTTGTTGGAGCATATCTGAGCCATTCGGGAAGGAAACCTACATGATAAATTCTATGATTTGACTCAGTAGGGGATGATTACGGAATACCGGGAGAAGTTCAAACTCATGTCAAGGAGATTGAGGGGTATTTTAGCTGCAAGGTGTTTATCCAGGAAGCGGTCCGTTTGCACGGAGTGTTGAAATCGATTGTATCGGATAGTAACAAGGTGTTCCTCAGCCACTTCTAGAAGGAGCTATTCAGGTTGCAATAAACAATTCTTAAGAGAAGCAACGCATATTATCCCCAGTCCGATGGGCAAACGGAGGTGGTCAATAGGAGTGTGTAGACATACATGCGTTGTTTTGTATTTGATATGCCAAAGCTTTGGGCCAAGTGGATTGCGTGGGCTGAATATTGGTATAATACTTCGTATCACACTACAACACTGACCACCCTTTTCAAGATATTGCATTGGCGGGATCCACCTCACTTGATACATTATGGGCATATCACTACACCTTTATCCAACATCGATCAGTACTTGGAGGAGAGTGACGAGATACTAGAAGAACTCAAGTGGCATCTACTGAAAGCTTAATAAGTCATGAAGAAGAAAGCGGATGAACATAAGAGAAGTGCAATTTGAACCAGGGGACATAGCTACTTGAAGCTGAGGCCCTACTGACAGAAGAATTTGGCCAGGAGGAGAAGCGAGAAACTTTCACCTCGATGCTTTGGATCTTATGAGGTGATGATACGCATTGGGGCAGTAGCCTGCCGTTTGAGATTACCACCATCATCCACAATATGCCTGATCTTCTATGTATCACAGCTAAGACATGCGATTGGAGATTATAAACCCTCGTCTATACTAGTCGATGTTGACGGAGAATTTGGAGGTGATTTTGGAGCTTCTAGAGATCGAAGAAGTGCGTCGAGGAGTAGGGGGAGTAAAAGAGGTATTGGTTAAGTAGAAAGGACTGTCATACTATGAAGCAGTGTGGGAGTCTTATGAGGTGACCTACAAGCAGTTTCCATCCGTCTACCTTGAGGACAAGTTTTCTTTACGAGGGGAGTATTGTTACGCCCGTAAGTGAACCGGTCCCTCTTGGGACGGTCGAGATCCACCCAACTGGCCCGCCACAACAGCAGGTGGGTCGGTCTATTCCGCGAGAAGGAGTTTTTTGGAAAATTGTCACGGCAAAAGAAAGCAGGAAGCAGGTGGGTCCACGAGAGCTTTAATCACATACTCAAGAAGAAGAAATTAAAAGAGTTTGGAGGGAAAAGCTGGGATGGAAAGAATGAAATATTATGGGAGGATTCTATTATGGGAAATAAGCAAGGGTTTGTTCTTTTTTTATGCATGTTTTGTTGGCTACTGGGTTCTTTTTTTTCTTGTGGTGTTCCTAGCGACGTCTAGGGTTGTAGGACAAACGATCTATCTCTAGAAAAGTAGTTCATCATTGTATTTTGCTTGTTTTCATTGATTTTTCGTAAGATCAGCCCTCATTTGAATTTTTTTCCATCTATCTATTGCCGTTTTGTCATTGTTGCTTGCTGATTTTGGTTTCAGATCGTACAGAACCATCATAGTTGAAGGAGAGAAATGGATCTCTCTAATAAAGAATGATTTTAGTTCCACATTGGTGCATTTTATTATGATTTTTAACATTAGCTACCTGGCTCATAATTTCTTTTTTTATAATTAATTTCTTGATTTGCTATTGCACATCTATTTTTAATTAATTTTGTTCTGGTTGGTGACAGCAAGACTTATTGCCCTTTCTGCACAAGGGTGAAAGACCTGTTCTCCAAGTTGGGGGCTAAACACAAAGTAGTCGAGTTGGATAAAGAAAGTGAGTGGAGCTTTTATTATTGCATGTTCCAAAGTTCTTGCGTCTTGATAGGGCTTAGTTTGCTTACCATTATATACTTGCCTTGTTATAATACATTATGACTTCTACTTAAATACTGCAATGATTTATTTCCTTAAATTGCTGTTTGATAGTTTTTTCCATCACTGTTTTGGTTCGAGCAAATTTTCTGGTTAGTATTCTTCTTTTGATAACTTTAAAATTTTGGTTTCTGTAGAATCATAATTAATTTTGGTTTCTGTATTGTGAAAGCTAACAATCTCTGTTTTACTTTTTGAACTAATTTACATGTCCTTCTATAAGAAGTTTGATTTCTAAACTTTTTAAAAGTTGTAGTGACGTTTAAGTGAATATTTCTACCATTGTTTTAATTTGTTAGAGTTCTTTTAGATCGCTTGTGCCAAATCTTACAATGCATGAAAAGATAATAAGAATATAAGGTTCCTTATATTTTCTTCAACTAGAAAGGGAAGCATCTTCAAACTACGGGAACTTAAATATTGGGCTAATGGCAATATGAGATAAGATGAATATAAAAGTAAAAAACTGAGGGTGAGGAATACACAGAAAAAACTGTATAGTTACAAAAAGATTAAAAAAAGGTGGAATAGAAGTATTAATTGGATTTTCCGTAATTACACAGAACCTAGCCCAAGTCTTTCAAAGAGCTTGAATGAAAACAATTGCTAGTTGGCTTTTGCTTAATGCTTATGATGCATTAATTCATTGTAGCAAAATTATTTATGATTTTTGACACACTGCGTTTGCTTGATTTCCCAACCCCTTTATTTTAAGTTTTTGGGATTGACATAAATACCATAAAATTCCTATATAGTTACAAAATTTGCATCTAAATTATTTATTTATTTTTATATCATTTAAGTTTCCAATTCACATCAAAACATATATTTGAAATTATATATTTGATTCTAAATACGTTAATATCAGTGGTATTCATGATGTGGTATAGATATTTGAGTGTTGAATAATTAAAAAAATTTAGAGGTTAGATATCTAAATATATAATAAATTTGTCACATGTATGTAAATTCCCCAATTTTATTTTCATCCATTTTAAGGCCTTTTTTGTTAAAGCTCAGTTGCACTTGTGAGCAAAAACTTTAGGTATGAATTTTAACCAATCTATTTATTTTTCAATTAATTAATAGTTTTATCTAAATTGATTAATGATTTTATCTACTTATCTATATATATATATATAGATGCCAGTAAATATAATCATTGATTGATCATGCTCAAAAAAATACAAAATAGGGCACCAAGGTTACCACCTAATAAAAGACAAAGCAAGGTTTTCCCATTCAAAAGAACTTGCAAAAGAGGAGAGGAGGTTACCATTAGCACCATTTTTAGCAAGCCAATCTGCACCCTCATTACGTTCTCTATGAATATCTGTCCAAATCACTGAGACATGTTGAGTGAACTTGAAAATTCTGTTCTTGATTATAGTAATAGACTAAGGGGCAGCAATATTACCTTCTAATACTTCCACCAACAGCAATGAGTCCGTCTCACAGCTGTTAAAATTCCAGTGCATCTTCGCGGCAAGTTTTAAGGCAAACAGTACAGCCCAAGCTTCAACTATCAAATAGTTACTAGCCACAGAAGGAGATTGAAAGAGCAACATACATTTTCCAGCTTGATTTCTGAAGATGCTTCCAACAACAGCCCCATTAAAACACCAAATCCCATTAGTATTAGCCTTGATCCACAGGTTATTAAGTCACTTCCAGAGAACCAGCTTCATCTTCCGCTTTTTGGATACCCTGACAGGGAAATGTAAAGTTTGGAGAACCTCGTTAACTCCACTGAAAATTTCCACATTTTGATTCCTAAACATCAAAACCTTATTCACAAAAGCAAGTATAGTGTGCATCACCACCGTAGGTCCCCTAAAATTGTCATCATATTTGGAATTATTCATTGCCATCCAAATGAACCACAACATTATAAAAGTCACATATTAAGCAGGTGCAGGACATACTGTGAGTTATGCTGCCACAATTGTCTGCAATGCTCTAAATCAATGAAACCATCCTCTGGGCAAGTAATGTTAAAGAAAATTCCAACTAGTTTTCATATTTGTACAGTGTAGTCACATGGAAAGAAAATATGATTAAAAGATTCCTCTTTCTTCTTGCAGAAATAACGCCTAGAAGGGAATTTCAAACCCTTGAGTATCAAGATATCATCAATTGGTAAAAACTTGTATAATAGTCTTCAAGAAAAGAAGGCCATAGAGGGGGAAAGACACCCCTTCCAAATCATCTTACCCCAAAGCACTTCTGGAAATTGAAACAATTTCTTTACAATTGTTTGAGCAATCGAGCAACTAGGGGTACCCTTAATAATAACTCTATCCTTCTGAGTGGACATAATAGAAATAGCATCAATGGAATCGGCTATATTACCTGGAAACAGATCGCACAATTTGTGTTTCTTCCAAGTATTTCTGTAGCAAAGATCTTTAGCTAGTAGTTGTTGATCATCAATACAATCATTCACAAACATTGAAAGTGACCCATCCAGGCTCCAGTTGTCCCATCAGAAATTAATCTGGCCTTCCCCAGCCCCCAAATAAACATATCTTCAACATTACTTCTTGCTTTCAACATGCCCTTCCAAACAACAGAGTCACCTAATTTAGGAGCAACTAAAGTAGGTTATTTAAAGGTACACTACTTCATTGTTATAAACTTAGCCCAAAGTGATTCCTTGGATCTGAATTTAATTCACAGCTTCATATAATTGTTGTGGGAAAGAATAGTAAGATCATGGAAATCCAGCCCCCAGCCTCCACCGATTAGCAAAGCTTCTTCGAACTTACCCAATGTATGCTTTTAGAGTTACCAGACCAAAGAAACCTATTGAACAAATTCTCCTGCTGAGCCTGTATTTTCCATTTCATCTTCAGTGCTTGAAGTGTGTAAAGTGGTATGGAGTTCAAAATGCTTTTAATTAAAGTGATTTTACCACCAAGGGATGAAAAAGAATTGGTCCAGCAATTAATTTGCTCCCTGATTTTATCCACCGCTTCTTGAAAGTGATTAAACTTCTTCTTTCCTTTCATTAGTTTAATCCCAAGATAGTGAATTGGAAGTTCTGAAAACGTGAAGCCAGTGTGCTCTATAATCCAGTTCTTTAGCATAAAAGGAATTTTATTTCCCACAAAACAATTGCATTTGTTTTTGTTAAACTCCATTCCAGAGCTGATTTCAAACATCTTCAAAGTCTCTCAAGTCTTCTTAATGGATTGTTTGCTTGCATTAATGAATAGCACCATATCATCAACATAGGCAAGATGAGAAACTAGGGATTTAATCTTATGAGAATATCTGGTATATGGCAGCCCCCATTGCAACCTGTTTATAGTTCTAGACAAATAATCAAATGTAATAATGAAGATTGTAGGAGATAATGGATCACCATGTTTAATACCCCTTTGAGTCCTAAAATAACCATAACACAAGCCATTAATCAACACATTGCAATAGTTACTGTTTAGCAACCTCTATATGAGATTACAAAAATATTCCTTGAAACTTCTTGCTTTAAAAATAATGAAACTCCAATTGATAGTATCATAAGCTTTCCTTATGTCTAGCTTGATCATCATGTTACCCCCTCTACAATTCTTTTCCAAATCAGTGATCATTTCTTGGCACAGCAGATTGTTCTCCATAATGTTCCTCTGGTGAAAGCAGATTGGTTGGGGGTGATTAAGTAAGGCAGTCTATTAACAATGATCTTGCTGATAACTTTAGAAAAAATAGAAGTCAGATTAATGGGTCAGAAGTGATTTCAATAGTCCTCATGATTCTTAGTAATAAGTGTAATAGTTGAAGTTAGGAAATATTTGTGTGGGTCAGCACCTAAGAAAAAATCTTTCATAGCATCAATCACAGGGCCTTGTATGATATTCCAACATTTTTTTTTGTAGAGCGCAGCTAAATATCCATCAGAACCTGGAGTTTTACTGTAATCTATAGATTAAATGGCATTCCACACCTCCACATCCTTAGGAACAGCAGTCAGATTCAAACTTTCAGTATATTCTTTATACTCATCAAAGAGAGACTATTCAATCACAGGCTAGACTGACCCTTGGTTGGAAAATAATTGTTGGAAGAACTCCACCCCACTTTATTGGATGTTAGGCTGCTTCTCAACCCATTGCCCCCCTCATCCTTGATTTTCAATATAGCATTCCTTGTTCTTCTAGCTCTTCTGCAAACGTGGTAATATTTTGTATTGCTATCCATATCAGTAAAATTGATTGTTGCAGCTTTTTGTCTTAGGAAATCCTCATTTAATAAATTGCATAAAATCAGCCTGGGCCTTAGCAGGCTCTTGATCTCCTTGAACTGGATCCCATCTTCAGTAAATTTTATCTCCAAATTTCTCACTTTCTCTTCAGCATTAGCAACCAGTTGATGGACATCACCAAAGACATATCAATTCCATACTTGAAGTTACCTAGCTGTGCATTTGTGAAGCTGTCAAAGATTAGTCAAACTGTTCCTGGAAAACTTGTTCTTCCAAATATCCCTGTTACAGTCCATGAAGTTATCATGATTGGTCCAATTGCTTAAGAATTCGAAAGATATATGTCAAGGATTTGGAACAGCTGATAGAGACAATAAAAGGGGATTATGATATGAACCGACAAGTGTAATACTTCATAAAAAGGAAAAGTATCCATCTATTTTTTATTAGCTAAAATTCTGTCCAAAAGTTCTTGTAACTTCTCTATTCTCCAAGTGAAGTCAGGGCCACTGTACCCCAAGTCAAATAATCCGGCTCCATTAATAGCTTCATTGAACTGTTTAACTAGCAACTGATTCATCAATCTATCCCTCTTCTCGGTTTGATTACAAATCATGTTAAAATCTCTACCAATGCAACAAAGGTTATCAACACTTTGCCCAATCTCCATCGTAGCTCCCCACAGCTCACTCCTTGCTTCCATAGTGCAACCAGCATAAGCAAATGTAAACCAGTCTGAGATACCATCCAACTCAAGCTCTACATTGCAAAAATTGCGCATTATCAATTAATAATTTTAGAATTATCCCCTTCCTCCAAAACAATCAGATTTTATTATTGCAGTTTACTATATGGTTAAATCTACCAAATTTTCTAATGATCTTCTCCTCCAGTCTCACCACCAATGGTTCAAAAATAACAAAACACAAAACCTTATGGATCATAATAGCAAACTTTAAACGATAAAAGGAGTTGGGATCTGCAACCCCTTTAATATTCCAAAACAAAGCTTTATTCATTGTGTTGTGACTTACATCTCCTAGAAAGTCTAGAAGAGGAAGGACCACCCAAATCAGTAGAAGGTAGAGGAGGATTTCCAAGTATATCTGTTTTTCACAGGTTCTGAAGCTCTTGTGTACCTTTATTCTTCCTCTTTCTTGATTTTTGCACAAGTCATTCTTTCTCAAGATCTTACCTAACAACATTAACGACGTTAATTGCTTCCTCATTCATAGGCAAATCAACTCCTGTCATCACTATTATGTTGTCCTATCAGATCCGTCAACTCACAGTTTCCCAAATATAAATCAACTGAACCCGTTCGAAGATCCCTTCTGGCATCTCCAATTATATCATGTTGTTGGTCATAAATCTTCTTTATACCCAAATTTGGATTCCCCTCCTCATTTGGTTTAATCTCCATTTCCATATTAAAGGATGCTTCTTGTGGATGTTGAATATTTTCTTGGGCTTCCATAACTTGAATAGCCTCCTTAGTGAAAGTTGGATGAGCTTACATCCCTCCTATGTTGAATTTCTTCTTGGGCTTCCATAACTTGGATAGCTTCCTCAGTGAAAGATGGATGGACTTTTTTTCAACTGTAGTTGATCAACCTCATTCCCGGTATCATCCCTTCTATCGTTTGGGGCTGCTCTTCTCATTCCAGGGTGAGCTACACAACAGTTTTCTATGGGTGACCAAACATCTTGCAGTGATCACAATAATATGGTTTATGTTCCACCATAACTTGCTGCCCATGTTCTTTATGAGTGGAGCCAATCCAGATCTCCTCTGGGACATGTTGAGTAATATCACTTTCAACTAGAATCATTGTAGCTGAAGGTCTATTTTAGATTATAAGTTGGGTAATCAAGTTTCATGGGTTTTCGAAATATTGAGTCGATGGAGAAGAAGATTCGAGCATAAAACAGATGCAATTTAAGCCCGGGAAATTTGAACCATATAGGTACAATAAGAGGCTCAAATAGGACATCAAAATCTGGGGATCACTTCAACACTTTCATCACCATATTTTCAATATGTAGGATCTTCTTGGAGAAGACTTCAGTATACTCTTCCTCCCTGCTCAGATGAATCATCATAGGTCTGTCATCAAATAAACCCATTTTCCAATTTTTAACTAATTTTAACCCATCAAACAATCTTCGAACTACTACAATTTTTTGATGTTTTAGTTGAAATTTACCAATAAGGGTGTACTTCACATGCTCAACTAATTTGTCCAAATCTGCCTCCGAAATGTAGATTGTCGATTTACCATTATTCCTCCTTGCTTTCCTTAATAATGTCGAGCTGATATAAATATCATCATGAAAATTTTGTGGGAATATTAAGTTGGATGCTTCAAATTTTTTTGGAGGAGCAATATTAGCCACAATCTCAGCAAATGTTGCGCGATCCATGAGTAGTAAATTTGAAAATCTATGGAACAGTAGACGTTGCGAGACCACACACACGCAGATATAGATTTAAATAAAAGAAGACAGGATGGTGGGTAGCGGCTGCTTCTGCTCCTCTTGCTAGCTCAGCAGTGCTGTAAATTTTTTAAAACTTTTTTACCAAACAACTTTAATTCTCAGTTCACTTTAAAGAGCAATTTTAACATGATTTTATTTGAAAAAAAAAAAAACCAAATTGCTAATATTTGTGTTAATGTTTTCCATTTAAAGGTGATGGATCAGAAATACAATCTGCTCTTGCCGCATGGACCGGGCAACGTACAGTTCCTAATGTGTTCATCTCTGGAAAGCACATTGGTGGCTGTGACAGTAAGATATCCCTTCTCTATTATAATCATTAGCAATTCGCATACTTTGTCCTGCTACAGGGCATTTTCTCACTCTTTTTTGTTGCATCTACATGCATATTGCCCAGTCTTATGTATTTACACGTTTAGCACCTGTACTTTTGTTTTTATATTTATACCCCCCCAAATCTTTTATATCACATAAAAATATCATAATTTTAACTTTAAAAAAAAAAGAAATACACCTTTTATGCATAGGTAAGGTGATGTATGTAAAAAATGATGTTCAGGTGTTAGATGTGTAAATAAATACGATTTAAGTGTTATCGATGTAAATCTTCCTTTTATTATTGCAGATGTGATGGAAAAGCACAATGAGGGTAAGCTTGTGCCCCTACTGACCGAATCTGGTGCTCTTGCTCTCTCAGCTTCATCCTGAAGAGTCTGGTGAATGAATAAATAATCCGGCCGGGAAGATTCAAAAACTGGCTGTAATGAATGTGGTTTGTCTTAATTTTACTGAACGGCTTATGAACCTATGTGTGCTTGATGCTATTATCTAATAAATTAAGTAGCTGAAACCTTGAATCGACTGCATAATCTTGGGAAGAAGGTGAGAGGAATGATGGTCTATGATTAAATAAAGTTGTTTCTTTAAAATTATAGATTTGAACCACATTTTGATGTCGATTACCATTATAAAAAAGAACTTTGGTGAGAATAAATGGCCAACTTTAATTTCTATTGCTTTTCCTTAATACTTATTTTTAGGAGGTATGATTTAAAGTCTTTTCTTGTGATACTTTACAAATGTGGCTCTCTTTTTTTCTTTTTTTTTTTTTTTTGGTTTGGACATTTATTTTCAACTCTTAGGTTGCGTTTGTTTCAACTATGGCGGTACGAAATCTCAGTTCAAAAGTAGAAAATCTCTTGTTAAGAAGTTGGTGTTTCAAAAGCAGTTGGTCTGTTTGAAAAATATAGTTTTGAAATGTTGTTTGTGGACTAATGTCTGTAATAACCCTCTGTATATATTATGTAGTTATTATAGATATTTTCAATATATGTAATTCACTTTTTTTAACTATGTAAACCTAATAAGAAGAACTACAAAAGTAAAGTCAAAATCATACTATTGAATAAAGAGAATGCTATGTAAAAGTATAGGCATCAAGTAAAATTTAAAAAGAAATAAATATGAAATAGATATATATTTGGAATAAATTAAATGGTAACCACTCAATTTTTTTTTTCGCTTGCATCCTTATCATGAAAATATTGAAGAACATTAATCCATTTTCTTGCCCCCAAATTAGTCATAAAAATAAGAGTTCAACATAATATATTCAACATAAGTTGCATCCCAGTTAGGCATACGAGTTCGCTTATTAACAAGTCTTACAGTATTATAGCTTGTTTTAAAGGATACATTAACATCATAAAGATAAATGCAATGCTTACAAAAACAATAGAAATGTTACAATCATAAAATCAAATAAAATTAGGACCTTTGCAAAAAATTTAGTCTTCAAAATTCTTCTTCAAAGCATTATCAAAAGCATTTACGTCTTCATTACCTAGCTTCAATATTGCATCACATGGTTCATCCTCCTATTAAAAAAAATTGCTATCTTTGTTCGTTAGATTTTTTGGATTTTGTATAATTTTATACCAGCGTTAACACCTTTATGAGTCGTGAAAACAATGCATAACAGATTGTAATAAAAAAATATTTGTCGATGTTTCATTCCCTTCAAACTTGTCAAATAGCTTGAGCTTGTTTTCGACAATATATACCTGTAAATTAATCATTTGCACATAAATAATGAGAGAGAGAATAAATAAATAAGTTAAAACAATATTTGTGGATGCTTCAAATCTGACTTACATGGTAAGGTCTAGACAGATTTGGTCTGTAGTTAAGGTTAGAATTCCATGATGGAACTATGAAGTCCCAACAAAATACTTAAATCACAAAAATGAGTTTTTGAATTTGAACCAATGAAATAAAGCTTCAAATTATGTCATTGTAAAGGGAAGATTTATATACATACCACTCAATTCTCATGTAGTTACATACATAACACCTAGACTTTTCTATCACTTCCATGAAAGTTAAAAGCTATTATTACTGAGAATGCTTCATGAAATAGTTTTATGAAAAAATCAGTTAATAATGATTTATAAGTAATGTTAAGGTTGACCCTCAAGCATTACAAATTATAAAGGGCATTTAACCATTCGTGTAACATTAGAAAAAAATGAGTTGATATGATTTTGCAAAGCTTTTATGCTCAACTTTAGCCACCTTATCATAAATGTGATGTGAAATATTTGGTTGTATAAAAAAATAAAAAAAATTAAATTTAGACCTTGAAAATGTAAATACATAGGAGTTGAGTGGTGTGTATGTAAATGCCCCAAAAATAAATTCCCGGGAATTATGAATGGTTTGCTCTTAAAAATCCTTCATCTATTTTAACTGATGTAAAAATAACTAATATGGCCTAATCTCCCACAATTAGTATCAATTAACATATTAATTTGATACTAATACTATGAGTTAATACCGGTAATGATTAACTTTTTTAATATTATTCAAGTTTTTCACTACTAGAAATTTTGCTTATCTAGTAAGCTTTTACTTCTAAGCAAGCATTATGAGTCTATAAAACCAGGTAAACTTGATGTATTTCTAGTATTTTGGTTAGGTGTAAATTTTGTTTATTATCAGTGAATTATTTATTTATTTGCCAGTAGCTAAAATTTAAGTCAACACAAAATATTGGTTTAGTCAAAATTCCAAACCTAAATGGACCAATCATCAATTGAGTTGAACCAGATAGGTAAATTTAGTGGGGAGGTTTAACTTTTCAGTTCAATGAGTTCTTTGAACATTTCTACAGTGCTAATCATTTACGCTAGAACTTGTAAAACTCAATCTACATTATCAAGGTTGGTTTGCACAAAATAGGGGAAAATTAGCTTATTGATCTAATAGAATCAAGTTAACACGTGAGCTAGATTGGGCTCATATCAATTAATGGCTCGTGAATTGAGCTCCATGAGCTAATAAGCTAACCCTAACTCGACTTGTTAGCTTACGAGTGTGATCATTTATAAATTATTATCACATGAAACACTTAAAAATTATTAATCTTCAATGGCTTAAGTGTAAATTTACTAAAAAAAATTATAAAAAGTATATTCCATTTAGTTGTTTAAAGTGGTTTCTTCTTATTTCTATTCTTATGTGTCTGTTGACATCATTTTGGTTAGCATGCTCCCCTTGATCACTCTCCTATCTAGCCTAAGGACTTCTTTCTAGTATCCCTAGGTGGTTGAGCTGATTCTAGCCTGGTCGGGTAGTTCTCGGTCATTATAGTGGGCTTAGGGCCTACCTAGGTTGAGTTCTAGGTTGATTTGCGTGTGCTTTAGTTGACTTACTTGGATTCAGGTTTGATCCAAACTAAAATTAAAATTAAAATCAACCCAAAATTAAAACATAATCAAATGAATACAAATTTAAACTTAAAAGTGAACCAAACCTAAATTAAACTAAAATAGACCTAAATTAAACTAAAATAGACCTAATTTAAAATTTAGTAGACTTAAATATAAACTTACAGTTAATATTAATTCAAAGCCAAAATTCAAACTATAGTCTACAATATTATTTAAACCAAAGATATAACTAAGTTTAAACTAGAGGAAAAAAAATTAAACACGAAAAGTGCCCTAAATTTAACTCAACATATAAATAAGTTGAAATAAATGTATATCTAAACTTAAAATTACATATATTTATGTGTATACACCTACAAAACCCAAAGATATTTGTGTGTGTGTGTGTAGATGCATATGTACACATGTATAGATGTATGTATATGAGTATATGTATGTGTGTGTGTGTGTGTGTGTGTGTGTGTGTGTGTGTGTGTGTTTGTTTGTTTGTGTGTATAAAAGTGGTGCTAGGCAGCTAGGGTTGTGGCGAGTCTATGGAGACTCTATGGTTGTTTGTGGTGGTGCTGCTCTTGGGCTGGTATGGAGAGGTCATTTGCGGAAGACTTGGCAGGCGGAGGTGGCCATTGTGTTGTCTCAAAGACTATGGTTTTTCCTCGAGCTTTCCATAACTCTGTGAATGGTTTGGGTGATCTATCGTTCATCAAAAAAGCAAAGAATAAGAGTGGTAAGCCTGCTTTATTTATTTCTGAGAGTGAATTGATGTCTCTCTTCCTCGTGCATATTGACTTTGGTGGGGTAAGTTCTTCTTTGTTCATCCTAAGTTGGAACTCATCAGATGGAAATTTGAATGCTTAAAATTGGTAGGGGAATGGAAGATTGAGTTGCTGGATGGTTGTCACATTAGCATTCAGTTGTTGAAGGAGGAAGATTATGCATGGAAATTTTCCAAAAAGCTTCTAAGAATAGAAAATAGAGCTATGAAGGGGCATAAATGGTCGGATTATTTTGATCCTATGATCAAAGACCTCATTGTTCTTGTGTGGAATAGGTTCCCTGACATTAAATTACACTACTTCAATCTTGAAATCTTGTTTTCACTTGCTATCATTTATGGAAGGCCACTCAATTTGGGCTCTCCCACTTTTAATGTCACTAGACCCTCAGCTTCCAGAGTGTTAGTGGAGAGGGATATTACTTAGGTCGTAGTTGAAGAGGTATGGTTAGGTTCTACTCACAATGGTTATTGACAAAGGGTAATAATTGAACAACATCCATCTTATTTTTCTGACTCTCGGATGTTTGGTCATTCCAATTTGTAGTACTACATCCTTCATCCTGAGCTTAAGGTGGTGGGATGTGGTGTCTGAAGCTATTTTAGGCCCTTCTTTAGAAGGAGGGGATGTGGGGAGGAAGTTTACTGGGGATGTGAAGGTTGAGGAGCGTGGAACTTAAGTTGAGGGAGTTTTGAAGGAGTGTGGGGGTCAGGTTGGTGTGGTTTTGGATGGGGCTTTGGGGTTGCTAAAGGGTGTGGTGGTTGTTGTAGGTGGGGGTGAGGTTGTGATGGATGTTGGTCTCAGGGTGGAGGATGCCACTGCTACACTTAAGGAGGAGTGGCTTATTCATAAGTCTAATAGGAAAAAGCATAGGAAGAAAGATATTTCACTTAAATGAAGGAAATATTATTAATGCTGAGGTTAATTACTATTATGATGGTGGCCAACATCCCACCCTTACTATGTCTGCTAGGAGGGGTGGTTTGAGACATCATGTTTTACATCTTTGTTTGGAACATTAGGGTGGCTAGTCACTTGAGGTTTTGGAATAGGAATGATTTTGAAGATGTTCATAAAAAAAGTTAAGGGGACTCTGGAGTTGGTTGATGCTCTAGCTCTAGGAACTCAGGATGTTTGCAGCTCTGGTTTAGTGGATGACCTTGTTGCTGTGAACAAGACACTATTGGAGGCAATTAAAATGGAATAAGGATACCTCCTTTGCTAAAGGGGAAAGAAAATATCATTAATTTTATGCAACCATTAAACATAGAAGGAATATTAATGCTATACTGAGGATTAAAGATGGTAAGGGATGCTAGATTATAGAACCTGAGGAACCTGGAAAAAAGAGTGTTGTTCATTAGTTTGTTAACCTCTTTGATTCTGATGTGCAAGTTTGTCGTTTGGAGGCTGACCTATTTTCTGCTGAAACAAAGTACGTTACAAGCATGTCCCCTTTTTCTGCTTCATCTTAAGAGGAAATAGTTATGGCTTTTATAGGTATTAATA